AGCTAGCAAAACTACGCACTCGACACATGGAAACCATGGACTGTTTCCACTGTCAGTTTAGCTATATCACCACCGTAATGGCATTCCCACTGTTTTGAGAAGGCGCGAACACAAGCATTTCTTTTAAATCCGAGGAGAGGGTCTTGACTGAGATAGTGATTGATGACGGCGATAATTTCGCAGACGCTAGCGATCAACAACATTCATCTGCGTCCCAGTGAGCCTGCTAACGACACTATTACTACGGAGAAGGTCTTCACGGGTGCCATGTTGGGTACAGCGGCGAAGACATCCATCAATCGCCCCTGGCTCTGTGAAGGGCTTCAGGTGATTCGACAGTTGTTGGATAACACGAGATCCACTACATCGCGGAAGGCGCCGGGATGGTTCGTATCTGTCGAACTAATCACGGTGTAGGTCGGGACACGTCAGAAGAAATAAGACAAACAAGCGCAGGCTTTCGTTTCATTTCGTTGCGTTTTATCCTACTACGCGGTTCGACCATGATTAACGCACACGGAAACTCGCCCAGCATTTTACGCGGGAAAAATCGATACGACAAGAGTCTGCAGCGATATATGCCCGACCTTTGACAGTTGCCGAATTATGACTTTGTATGTGGTGCATGCTCAAACCGACAGAAATACGAATTTCCGGGCACTTTTAAGTCCACGAGTGGAGGTTGGCTCGTGCACCAGAGCGAGGTCCGTGGAGAGGTGCTTCAAAGGCAGTATACACGGACGCCTTCTTTAGGCGCTGATGCATGTCTTTCAGAGCGGCACGCATTATGCATACCCCCTAATTACGACGAAGTGCTTTTGCGCCTCGGGCTGCGACGACCTCGAAGACTACTGCGTCACAGCAGGAAAGTTACGCGACGCATGGTGCGATTGCCACGTCAGAGGAGAAGCGTCGCGCCACTGACTACACAACACTGCACCACTACACGTGCACGTTGGTACGAAAATAATGGCAGCTCAATGGTGGCACCGGATAGTACAGGGGAGGAAAGAAAATAGAGAGGTACAAGAACCAAAAAAGGCTGCCCACTGGTTGTTCCTTAATCGACATTAAAATGGACAAAAGAATAACTACTCGGTAAGCTGCGGAAATAGAGAGGTACAAGAACCAAAAAGGCTGCCCACTGGTTGTTCCTTAATTGACATTGAAATGGACAAAAGAACAACTACTCGGTAAGCTGCGGTAGTTTTCCATGTACCCCGGTTTCAAGCTTTCCGTAATTGGCTCGGCAGAAAGATGTATTCATAAATAACAAATGTGTCTAGCGCACCTTTATATATGACCACGGATGGTTCGCTTGTACAAGAATAAAAAAAAAAGAATGAGATACTATTTCAGTTGGAACTTTATTACCGCACTGGTCAATTAGCAATTAGCTCACACTGAGCTACCAAAACGAGCTCCCCACTGATATACTCATGAACGCCACCTTCAATGTTATTCAGTTTCTCCAAGCGTAAATCTGAATATAGAGGTATCAGAACGGCGTATAGCATCTATGCCCTAAACAGACAATGCTTTTTTGCTCCGTCAGTCCACGGTCTTCATGTGCGATTTCTCTTCTCTAAAAGTCGGCTTCTGAAAACACGTGAAGGCGCGACCTCGACAACATTTCTTGAACAAGCAGGCGTCTTTTCTGATCCTTACATATCGGCGTTACTCTATACCTAATGATCCAAGATGCTGTACCAAAAAAAACCCAAACGGAAGTCGACTTGCACCCATTCTGTGTTGTTTAAAATTCTTAAATTTAAAGTTCGCAGAGAAATAAGAAGGAAAGATCTAGGAACATTAGCGCAGTCTTCTACACCAGCGAGAGTAATCAACTTGTAATACAGCGAATATTGCCACATACCAAGTGAAACGTATTATTAACATTCGGCGGACTGAAAAAGCAGGCACCCCGTTGCGGCAACGATACAACGTCAGCGCTTTTACTGCCCAGTTCTCATCATGCGGGCAAATTTTACACAGTTACGCGCAAATTGTCGACTCGCGAGGGTCCATTGTGCCTGGCGTTCCCTAAAACACTCCGATACCGTGAACGAAGATCCGCCAGGCCATTCTAGGGAGTCGCACAGACCAGAGCCAGACCATGTATAGCGATCATTCACCGCTATAGAAGCGAGGCGCGCTTGGCGCAGTCGAGAGAACGCCGACGCCACAGGCTGGCTGCTGCATGCTCTGTACAGCGCGTTCGGCCTTCTCAAGGGCGTGCAGTGCGGCAACCTCGGCTCGTATCTCACGCACGCCGCTCGCCCCCAGTGACACGTCATGCTACCTCACTCGCTTTTTTTCTGTTTATTTTAATGTCTACCGTCATTTTGTTAAGGAGACACGTTGACTGCAAGTTTGATCAGCTTCGCTGCACTGCACAATCGCCCTTCTTCGTTCGCACACCATGGCGAAACCGACCCCCCCCCCCCCCCCCCCACCAACCCTCTTTTTTTTCCTCCGTTGATTCATCGTCGCTTACCTCCACCTCCCATGCTGCTGTTTCTGGGACTCGCGAGGCGAACAAAAGGACTCTAGCTGCAGCGCGCTCCCCCTCGTACACGCTTCGAACACAATGGCACCACTACTACTACTACGCGCGGCACGGTCCGCGCGTGACGTCACGAAGAAAGCGGCTCGCCATTGGTGGCAACCGCAATCAATGAAGCAAGCGACCCGTGGAAACTACGGCGGCGACCCATTCACAGCTATTGCGCTAGCGTACGGGAGGACTACGAGGAAAAAATGGATATACGCCGGACCGCGACGTCGTCGATAGCGAGAGAAAAGAACGCAATAAAAGAAGTGCGCCGACCGCACAAGAACGTATTTTCGGCGCGAAACGGTCTCGGCGGTGGCTCAGTTACACTATATAGGCCACGTTGTAAGGCCACGTTTGTCGCGGCCTTACAAATTCCTGCGACCGCTCTCCCTGAAACGCTGATTACGCAGAAGGCAGTTTCGGTTGGAGAAAGGTGCACGTTCCGTCGCGCATCTACTAAAAAAAAAAAAAAATTCGGCAGGTAAGTTTAGCATATTTTGCTGCTCGAGCGTGGCTGAAAAAGGCACTGAGCTACACCGCACCGCGACTGGGAGGCGCTGTTACGATGAATACCGGTGACACGGTCAATTGTGTTTACGAAGCGTGGTTGCTCATACCGATGGCTACAGTCAGGTACGGTATTATTACTATTACAAAACGGTTTGCAACGCTATGGGAAGACCTGACTCGTGCGCTCCCTTCTGGCTGCTTCGGGTCACAAGTGTTCGTTCCAATTTCTTCGAAACAGTGCCGTACTGCGTGAAATTAATTAACCTGATAAGTGCGGTTACAAAGTAGGTGCTCTGCCATTAAAGGATTCCGACTATGTGTCCTCAAATCCAGAGCAGCGCGTTAGACCGTGCTGGGATAACATTTTGGCACTGTAGGCAGGTCTACTTCTACAACACTCAATAGTGCATGCCTACGCGCTTTTCCCCACGGCGCGACAATGCTAAAGATGTTCATCTGACTAAAGCTCGTGAAAAAAAAAAAAACTGCAATCAGAGCACACGTATTGCCCTCTCCTTTTGAAGAATGTAGAGACGAGACGGAGGGGGGCGACTGTACAAGTTTGTTCATCAGGCTCGCCCACCGTGGCAGAGAAGGGTGGTGGTCTCGTGTCAGCGCACCCATTTCTGTTTTTATTTCCTCTTCGCGTGGTGCCCTCGTTCGCCACGAAGCTTGTAAAGAAACTCGAAATAACGATAAAAACGAAGCCGAGGCGCCGCGCTTTTTTCCTTCTCGGATCGGCGGCCATTCAGTGCACCAAAATGACACGCCTTCAGTCAACCTAGAAGCGTGGCAGCTTGGGCTAGTTGGTATGGCATGACGATAGTTGTAGCGCGAGAACAAAACGACGACACAGAGTTCGTGTCCTTCTTGTCTCTGTGTCGTCGTTTTGTTCTCGCGCTATAACTATCGTCATCTTAAGTCAACCACTACTACGCTCACGGAGGCGCCGAGCCACAGTTGAGAATGAGGCGGTCGTTGAAGCTCCATTCAGACTCGAGCCTGTTTTTTCTCGTGGCTTTATTAGGCAAGCTGGGGGGGGGGGGTCTCGTAATTACGAGGCGTAGTCCGACCAGCATCGCAAGGTATTGCTACTACGCGATGGCTACTACAACAACGTTGGTCGACGTTGAAAAGACGGCCACCACGACACGCTGGTATTCCCTTTCCCCCTCCTTTCTTGAGATTTTTACGGAATGAATAGCTCCGGCAGGTCCGCGCCAGCGTGTATACTACAGAATGGCCGGGCAAGGCACACGATGAGCGAGGAGGGACTATTGAGGACACGGGCCGCGCTGCGCCCAACAACCGCGTGGTGTGTGCCTACGCAAGGAAAGGAGGTGGTGGTGGGGGGGTTCCCGGCCGGCCCGAAAAGGCCTACGCTTCTCGCGCGGCGGCCGACGCGAGAAAGAAGAAAACGCCGTCCACCCGCCGCAATGGCGGCTCGCGCTGCCGAAAAGACGCTTTGCCATCATCGTGGTCCCGCTATCGTGGTGGCAGAGACCGCGTAATTCCTCGCCACCACGACCCGCGTCGTCTTGTATTCCGCCCATATGTGAGACGAGCTATACCGAGTCACAGCGAAACTTCCGTGGCGCTCCGTGTCACCTACTCGCGTCGGCGGGCGCGGTTCTTGCGCGACAACCAAAGGGCAAGACCGCAATGTCTGCTGGCTTTGGCAAGTAGCAACGCAATACGTGCATTACGGATAGTTGAGAGATTTTACGGCACAAAGACAAAAGGAGAGAACAAATGACATTGCTAGAATGCTATAGAGAAAAAAAGAACGACACACGTAGCCGGTCCAGCGCGGAACACCCACGTCCACTGCCTCTCGGCCATGATCGAGCAAAGACGTTCTGCCACCATCGGACAAACCTTTAACACAAAAAACATTCGCAATGTAAGCGTGGACGAGAGCAAAATGACTGACCCTGCACGTCGGCATCCTCTTCCTTGAGAGTGCGGTAAGCCGGCAGCGTGAAGCAGCGTAGCATGGTTGAAGACCGTGCCCGTCAGACCACCGGTGCCACACAAACATAGACCGGAGAGCGCACACGTCGGCGTGAATTTTCCGAAACACCTCGGGAGTCCGCCGCGTTACGGATCACGTGAACCCGCGGTCGATGATCATCCGACCACGAGAAGGCGACGAGTGAACCACGACGGAAGACCTCCCCGGAAAAGGAGAGACAAGCCGCCGCCGGGGACCGTTAGTCCTAGAGATTTAGGCTGACGCTGCGCCGGCGACCCGACGATCGGCGGCTGCGGAGCGCCTCGCAGACGGAGCTCGTTAGCCATGACAGCAGCGGCGAGGAACGACGGGCAGCGGACGCTGCTTCTCTTCGGAGTACGCCGCAGGGCCCCGCTGCTGTTGCCTCCTTGCAGCGCCACTGCGGCGTCGGCCGGAGGTCATCCGGCACGATGTACAACCGCTGCCACTACCAGCCACGACGTCTTCTGGAGGACGTACTCCGGAACAAGGCCTACTCCGCTTTCTGTACTTCACACACGTTCGAAGAGCTGCTGTGTAGGCACAGGCGAAGAAGACCCGGTCCAAGTTGAGAAACACTTCTCGGTCCGCAGAAAGGACGAAGCCGGCTTTTGAACACTCACAGAAACACACACTGTAGCGAATCTCTCACTGTCCTACGTCACGAAGCGAAGCGCGCACACACACATCATCATCGTACACACGAAGTTTGTTTCGAGCGCGGATTTACGACGAGCGCGACCCGACGCTACTACTATCCGTCGTCGTCGTCGGCGCCACTACTACACCAAAACGTGCGTTCACGCAACGCAGAAAAAAGATACTAGAAAGGAGGAAGGAAACGCGCACGAGGAGGAAAATAGAAGGAAAACGCAAACAGGCTCGACAAAGCAGCAGCTTCTCCTCTCTCTTTTGGTGCAGAGCAACGCTTCTCTCCGCCTCGTACACCTCCTCGGTAGAGCAACAGCCGGCTGCGTAGGCGCCGAAAAACCAACTGCGCCGCAGCTAGCAGCAGCGAGCAAACTCTTGGGATGGAGAGAAGAGAGAGGAGGAAAGAGCACGACGAACAACCCCGAACCAGTCAGCCAGCGGGCCAGGCTCTCTCTGAGCTGCGGAGCCAACAGCAAATAAACACACGCACACAGCTCAGCTTTCTGTTGCTTCTTTTATTTCCGCACGGTCCCTTTCACTCCTCCTTCGTGCTACACGAGCATGCAAGCTGTCTCTCTCTCTCTCGCTTTGAACGACAGAAAGAGAAGCAAGAGCAGCGGGACGCTGACAGAGGAGGAGGAAAACGAGAGAGATCGGCCGCGGATGAATGAACCGGGAGATGCAGAGGAGAGAGCAAGAAGGACGACCGGACGTGACGTCCCCGAAAAGCCGTGGGAGTAGATGCACAGCAGGAGGCGGCAGCACACAAGTGCGGAGAGAAGAGTGAGAGAAAAATCAACTGCGCATGCGCGCGTCATCCACGCAGTCCCTGCTCCTGCCGCAACAACCTTCCCTTTCCCTCGGCTCAAAGCGTGTGCCTCGCTGTGTACGGGAGTGCTTGTATTTATCGATTCGCTCGCAGGATTTCAAGCTGGACGGTTGTGCCCTCGCGATCTCCGACTTCAGCGTAGCTCCCGCCGACTGGTTCGCCCTCCGCGGTCTCCTGACGCCGTGTAGCTCTCGCATTGTGGCACCCCGCCCTTGGACTGCTTCGACCGGATCCCCACTTTCCTATCTCCTTCTTTTTCCTCTCGTTGGCTGTCTTCTTCTGCTTCTACTTTCCTTCTATCCTTTTTATCCCTCCTTCACCCCACCCCTATAAGGCACTGCGCCGTGTCGCCTGAAGGCAGACAGAAATTAGGTGCCTTTTTCCTCTTCATTGTAACCACTACCACCACCATTTATCTCCCGCAGCGAGAGGAGACAGAGAGATAGGCGAAGCAGCAGGCCGGCTGTCGCTGACACGGCAGGCCAGAGGCGCGCCGGCAGAACTTCATGAATGAACGCGAAGAGGAGGAGGAGGTCGGAGTAAGTCCTCCTCCTCGTCGCCATTATACTCGGTCTCTCGCCGAGCGTGAAGGAAAAAATAAAGGAGAACGCGCAAATTAGACGCGAGTGCTGCACAAGAGACAACAGAGTTCCCGTGGAGATTCAGAAAGGAGAAGGAGGGTGCCGAAAATAGTGCAACGAGCTCTTGATTGACGTCACAAGAGGCGCGCGCTCGTGTAGCGTGCTCCGCACACCGAATTTCGCGGCCCACGCCCTTGCAGCGCGCGTGGCGTACTCTTGGGCAACCATACTCTTGGGCAACCTAATAAACGCCGGAAAGAACACGTTAATGGATTGTGAAAGGAAGAAGGACCGCCGCAAGCTAATCTGCCCCGTATTCTCAACTTACATGTGTTTTTCTGTTCTTCGTACACAAAGGGGTGCGTACCAGTTACCAGATATCTCAGAATCACAGACATTCGCGGCTTCCTGACCACATCAAACTGCCAGAGCTTCCAGCGTCAACGCGAATCATTACATAAGGGAAAAAGAAAAGGAAAAAAAAAGGTCGTCGACCCGCACACTACTTCAATCTTGAAGGACCACAAGGAGAGGAAAATAAAAAGAAATATCGTTCCGCCCGCCCACGCGCGCACGACTATTTTCGCGCCAGCAGTATCGCAAGTGCACAGGCGCAGTGAGTCCGCAGGAACTGCGGGGGTGTCGGCAGCGCAACGATCGTTCTGCCGCACCCGCTGCAGCCTCTCGCGTCGCTCCCCGCCGGCACCACTCTGTGCAGTATCTACGTCGCCTGCCAACTAAAGCAAAACACACACACACACACACACACACACACACACACACACACACACACACACACACACACACACACACACACACACACACACACACACACACACACACACACACACACACACTGCTGAAAAGAATTCCTGCCTCCGCGATGAACCTTAAGGTGCGACTTTAAAAGAGACAAGAAGAGAGCAGGGTGGGTCAGGGAACAAACCGGAATTAAGGATATCATAGTTAAAATCAAGGAGAAAAAAAAAAATGCGCATGGGCCGGGCACGTAGCACGTAGGCAGGATAACCGGTGATCATTACTGACTGGATTTCCAGAGAAGGTAAAAAAAACGAGGGAGAGACGGAGAGTTGGGTGGGCCGACGCGATTAAAAAAAAAAAAAAAAGTTCGTAGGTGTAACGTGGCGACAGAGTGACCGGGTTGATTGGCGGATCGTGGGGAGAGGCCTTTGCCTTGAAGTGGGCGTAGTCAGGATGATGATGATTATGATGATATGTGAGGTTTCACGTCCCAAAACCACTACACGATCATGAGGGACGCCGTAGATGAGGGTTCTGGAAATTTTGACACTCTCGTGTTTTTTTAACATGCAGTGCACGGGCCTCCATCGAAATATCGAAAAGTGACCTCCGCGGCCAGGATCGGACCAGCGACCTCCGGGGGTGAGCAGCAGCCGAGCGCCACTGATCCACCGAGGCGGACATTCGAGATGGCTACATAGGTGGTTCCGTGCTCGAAAGTGCAAGTGCGAATAGGGAAACAAGATCGAGGATCACAGAAAGCGGGACACTTCGCATTAATTGATCAACAATGATCGAACAAGGGATATCCACCTTTAGGGGAGAATTCTTATCGTACAGCTGCCAATCGCCGTGAATGTTATGGTCACGATAAGTACTCGCAGATGGCTCTGAACTATCGCTTACAGCAGTTTATGGTACACCGTCATCACCCCTGAACGTCGCCACTGCATCGACCACGACGACCTATCAGCGCTTCGGGCAGGGTTCTTCTGTACACTGACCCATTTGTAATCGAAAACAGGAAACATGATATTGCCGCGGAGGAGGGCTCGCGATAACACTGTTTCCGGTGCGCGACATAAGCTATCTCATTGATAACGCACTGTGATTACACGGCGCGCACGCTTCAATCACCAAAGCTGTAAATACGGCGAGTCATTACTGCGAACATCCATTATGAGTTACACAGGAAATTGGCCCGTCGTGTCCATCGGTTCGCCCGTCGTACATCGACTCGGAGATAGTACATCGCCGTGAGTCCGTCCGAACAAGCTCAATTTATGGATACTCTGGAGATCCGTCGAACCCTTCGATACAGAGTGAAGCATGAGTGAAAACTATATATACGCACGACCACCCTCAATGTACAGCCCGGTCCGGTGTTAAAGAGAACAGTCAGTCACTAGTACTACTGAATGAACTAGCCAAATTTTGTACACGTATAAGTAGAAAGCCGCTGATAGAAATTAACGAAGTTGCCTCCTCGATTCCTTGCACCGTACCTTAGCAATAAGCGATGGAAAACGAAACAACTTTCTCTCTGCCGGTGAACCGGGCTGTATATGTGTCAACGCGGGGGCCCCGCCTTTTCACTGAAGGTTCACTGGAGGGCGCAATAATGCACTCTGGGTTGTGGTAAGTATAGGCGTGACCACCCAAAATTTCACTGCCGAGGCACTGACTTCAGCCTACTTCCCTATAGCACTGGTAATGACACTGTAGAGCACAACAACTGTTTGGTCTGCTTCTCTCCCTAGCCTGCCAGTGTAACTAATATACTATTATTAACTCATGGTGACATGATTAGAATGATCTTCCTCAAATATTCAATTGAGGTAGTCATGGCATGAAGGCCGAATGAATAATCGAGTTAGGTGGCTCATCGGTAGCCGCCCTGTTACAAAGGGGACGCTCATAACCACGTTATACGACTCGGACAATCCTTGATGATTTTATATCCCCCAGAATTGCGTTAAGATTGGCGAATGCGCGCGACAGTAGATGAAATTAAGCTGAGGTTAGATTGATATTACGTGTTGCTGAATCTGTATGGTATACGAGTGTTATCCCCCTTTTTTTTTACCCTCAATCGCACTTGACGGTCAACAAAGCTACGATATCGTCTCTGAAATATCAATTTACATGCAACTTCAGCCGAATCTACGCGACTGAAACGGACAGCTGATGACTGAAATAAGCTGTCCGGTTAAGTGCCTTTGTCAGTCAGGTAAGTGAATATTCATAAATTGTCCTGAGGAGCAGATTCCCTCAAGAGGAATGACAGCTGCGGGCCACGAGCACCCAAGTGGGCGAGTTCCTTCGCAAAACTGCAGGCCCTCTCAGGGAAAGCCAGGTTAAGAAATAATCTAAAACAATGATTTGTTTCGGTGTGCGGAAGAATCCTTGCCAACATGTACGAACATTAACAAGTCTTCTCGAAATGCATCTCAGCTGTCCCCACAC